TGACAAAACAAAACTGGAAAAAAAAAAGCCCCAGCTAATCAGATGTTTAAAATTCATTAATTCAAATCTACAAATTAACAAAAAAAAGGCCCTCACAAAAGTGTAACTGACGAAAGTACGAGAGTCGTTTGGTGAAGCGAAGAAAGTGAGTCAAGGACATTCTAGACGAGGTGAAATGCGGTCGAAATTATCCAAGACGACCTCCCATATATCGAGAAAAAAAATGTTGTTTTAGACAGATGGAGGACTTAGACAGTGTCATTACAACTTTAAAAATTCGAGGTGGGAAATGGGAAGCTAATGTTTTTACAGGTGATTGTTTATACATGTGGTGCGTAAGAGCAGGTTCGACCCACTGTATTGACAGATCGATAAAACAACGTCTTCATAAAATACCACACTGTTTGGTTTTAAACTGAGACTTTTACTGCACTTGCAACGCAATAGGCTACACAAGTGCCGGAGATTAGAGGCGTTACTAGACTGTAACATACAAAGAAAAGAAGGGGGAGAGATAAGGACGGTGTACCGCAACCTTAGAATTACAAAGTTCTATCTGCTCAATACATAGTTTTAAGAAATTCGACGTAAAAATTGTTAGTTTCACAATATTGTGTTAAGCTTTTTTAACAAATGCATTTCTTTGAATATTGATAAAGACTCGGAATGATCTTACGATATTCATAGTATAGAGCAGATCGAACTCTTTGTTTCTGACTTCATGGTCTTATAGTAACTCAAAACGTCCACAAATGTCAGATAGAACTGTGCAATTCTAAAGTAGCGATAGGTTTGATAAGAAGAAAGAAGGAGCAAACCACGCCAGAGGACTCGCTGCAACCACCCACTGAGGATCAAGACTAGGTGAAATATTGGCAAATCGATAACGGCGTCTTCATAAAATATCACACTGTTCACATTGTTACCTGTTGTTTCATTAGGGCGGTGTTACCTTTGCCTTTTTTTTCGGGCTTGTATGTCAGTATGTGTGAGAGTGTGTTTAATTAAGTGTGCGTGTGTGTATATGTCAATATGTGAGTGAGTGAGTGTGGGCGTGCACGTGAGCGTTTGTCTGTGCATTTGTGTATGTGTATATGTGTGCACGTATGTGCATTATTTATGTGAATATGTTATTTGTCCTCGGATATATCTAAATACCTCAGGATTTTCTGCATGTAATCATTTGTAGAGAATCTTCGCCTCAGGTGTGTTGAATGGGGCGTTAACTCATACCAAACCCATCATTTGTTACAGTTACATCCCTTTGCTGAGAAATTTCACGTAGGCCCGCATTGGACATGTCATGTTGGTGGGATTTTATGTCTCCACCGACGCTTTAAGCCAAGCCTCAGCCCTGCTGCCAGGGCCAACCCGAGTTGAGAAGGATAAAGAAATCCAAGCAGTAAGACCTAGATACCTAATACAAATTTTCCCTACACTGGAACCAAGTTTAGGTCTTCAGCGAGCCACTGCAAAAAACAACAACAACAACAACAACAAAAAACAACAACAACCCATAACAACTACATCTCAGGCGCCAATGTGTGCAGCTGAAGTGAAAATTCTCCATCCTGTTGAAGAGCGACTGCTGCTCACACAAATCTAACGTTCACCCAGCCTATTGATTCCCCAATGTCTATCTTTGAATACTAGACTATGACCGTCAGCCCTGGTGCCATCACCCTTTTAAACTGTTTCATAAACCGTTTCAATGTAAAATGCAGAAATGATCCTTCTGATGGTTTTTAATCCGTTTCAGTAACATAACTAAAACAGAAAAATTTATATCAAATCGCCTCTTTCAAGATTTGCCAGCGTAAGAAAATCATAAATTATTAAAAAGCCTAAAGAGACACCTAATGTGTTGACTATAAGTAGCTGAAATGTTTGTTTAAAAAGGAATATGAAGTTTAGGTCTTTGTTTATCAAAAACACGCCATAGCATGATAATGATCATTGTCACTGCCACCCAAGATTTCTCAACATCAGAGAAATCGAGCCATCGGCATGCTCCGTGCGTTTCTGCTGTTGCCAGGACGTTCAGCGTCAGCTGTGGAGTGGAACAACATGAGGTTCCAGAATGCTGTTTAGGTAGGAGTTATTATTTTTTTTCTGAATGCTCCCAAGGTCACTTCTCCCTGTCTGACTGATGACTCCCCAGACCATCACACTCATATTTCCTCCCTCCGCCGTGGGTTAGTGCCTCTGATAGACGTGCGCATCTCGTTCGTTTCGCTGTCTGGCGACAAAGAAGAAACCAATATTATTATTTTCTCTACCATAACCCCCATTGGCTATATTGATGGCCCACGGACGTTCCTGTTGGAGGTGACAATTAGACAGAAAAGTCCTCTGAAGTGGTCGTTGTGTCCAAAGGCTGACTTCATGAAGGCCGATTCTTGTATAACTTGAGCCGTGTTACAGAGGCTGACCTGAATCGATCCCGCAAGTGAAACCGCTGAATAATAAAACGTAACGACTTTTTAGCACAAGTTAAAGACTGGCGTCTGTGATGTATAGGCCCTTCGCTATAGGATGTAGGACACCCGAGTTCGATTCCCGAGGGATTAGATAATTTTTAATGATTATCTAGATCTTTTTGCTCGAATGTTGTATCCCTTTCAGCACGGGTTGGCCCTGACAGGCAGGGTGGGACGGCCGCCTCCTTACTGATCTAAAATGTATCCATAGTGACGATAAAACCCACCTACATTTCAACAACAACAACAACAACAACAACAACAACAACAACAACAACAACAACAAGAATAAATTTGTACTCTTGGTCTCCCAGTCCTTTGGCAGTCTGCAGTTAAAATTTCGTTTTATGTCGACCCACAAGTCGGCTGATTATTGACTAAAAAAACATTCGAAGCAGAAGTGACAATTTCCTGTGGTTGGCCTGCAGCAAGGCGACCTTTTGTTTGCTTTCTTTGTTACGGTAGAAGTCGCATGGTGCTGCTATTCCAAAAAAAAAAAAAAAAAAAAAAAAGAAAGAATTTTGCAACTCTAATTGCTGGCTGTTTATAGCCCTTCGTGGTGTTCACTCACATGCAAAAATTCATGAACTACTGTGATGTTGTAAGGAATATTAAAGTTATTCATTAAAACCCTGAAAAATTACTGTTTGATATAATTTTTTACGAAAGCAACCACGAGAGTCATAAAGAGAAAACAATCTAACACACCATCTACGAACACCTTATTCTATAACGTGCTTACACTTACAGTTATACAAAAAGGAAAATCTCGAATTTATTACGATCTAAAAACACGTAGCCAATTCGCAAAAGCCTGCTAAAAACAGGCGCTTCTTTTTTTTTTTTTTTTTTTTAAACAGTAAGCCTACATTCATATTATGGTATAGACCCATACTTTGTCTAATACAAACACACACACACACACACACACACACACACACACACACACACACACACACAAACGCACACATCACACATGCACCCGCGCCTTAATCTTCCATTAATGTCAGTGATCGTGCCCAATTAATAGACACGGTACGCTCAGTGCGTGTGGCTGTATGCCGTCAGACTTGTACTTGAAATACTTAAGCTTACGGGCTTTCCTGCCGGGTAAATCACACATATTATTAGCGAGATTCGAGACGGTAGGGTGTGAAGTAAATGCATACTGATAGCCCAAAATAGCACATTTCAGTTGCTGCAATGTAACCACTATAATTGTCTCAGACTGGGTGTATACTAGTGTAGAGAGTAGAATCTTTATTCACCTTTTGATAGCCTACTTAACAGGTCTGCTGTCTCAATAATACGTAGTAATTGGAAGAAAAACGTTTGACAAAACCAAGGACAACCGACGTTAACAATGGTGCAGAAAGCAAATGTGTGGCGTGGTGGTGAATTCAGGCGCTGGTCCAAAAAATGAAATGGAAGACACCTTTGCGTTTTTCTTCCAGTTTGAGAAAGTTTATGGATTTTTTTTCTTCTTTTTAGCTCAACACCCTTAACGTCTTTTAAAAAACACATTTCTGTTTTGATTTTTACCTGGAAAATATTTATCAAAGACACAAGAAATGTAAATTTGCAGTTTCCAAGGACGCTGCAGCTTTGAAAGTCATCAAACTTTGGCGGCCATTTTCTAGCGAATTTTCCCCCTGAAACTGGATGACCCACACCTTCTTCAATTGCAAATATCTCGACTTCTTTTCAAAATGGGTGGATATTTCTTTTTAGAATTAAAAGCAACACAAACGAACAGGCACCAAGAGTATAGCAATAACTGATCAGTATGCCCAAATATTGACGAGCGCCTGATTTCACCGCGCCGTGATACAAATAGGCAGTGTGTTCATAGCACCGACATAAGGTAAACAAAATCCTTTGGTATCTTGTGAGGTTCCACGCGTGATCCCAGCTGACTTTGTTCTCTCGGGGCTTTGGCTATTGTCCTGTTGAGTCCCACTTTGTCGTTCAACAAGGACACGCCTTCTTATCCGTGTGTTGTTTGCCGCAAACATTTGGCCTCCGTGCAGTGCAGTCAGCTCTGTAGTTGGTTTAGTCCACTGTCAACTTTTCACTTTCTTTCTTTGTCAAGAGGAGAAAGAAACCGAATTGGTGAATTTCCATACGGCATGACTGGAGAAGGTGAACAGAAATCCTTTTTTGGAGAGACCCTAGTCTTGATTTAAAAAGATACCCATCCATCAATTGAGGTTAGAAAATATTTTGACCTCCCCCCCCCCCACACACACACACACGCACTTATTGCTTGCTTTTTCGCTTTAATTTTTTTCCTTTTTTTCCCTCTCTTTTCCTGCTGGCTCATGGCTGTGGAAAGGAGGTTAATTTATTTTGCTGTTGTTGTTTTTTGAGTTTCTTAAAATTTCAAGTGTGAGTGCATTCTGGAAACATAATTTAGGAATTTTACCATGACACTAGTGCATTTGGTGCTCGGGCAGAAAACAGTTAGGCTATTCCAATTTTAAAAAAGAGACAATTTGGACCTTTGCTCTTATTCAAACCTCCAGCCCCAGCTCTTTGATTGGTGTCACTAGTAGTATAATGGTAATGCTCTTTACCACTGAACACAGAAAGCGCGAGTTCGATTCCCGAGTGGGGAGCCTTTTTATCGAGCATCATCGCCAGTCTCCACCCCTGTAGGTGGGAGGGGGGGGGCATAGTTATACTATTGGGGAAGGGGGGAGGAAAGAATACTCCTGCCATGATACTGCGTGTCGTATGAGGCGGCTAAAGGTGCGTAGG